CAGGAACACTGTTTGGCATAGTCAACAACGTAACTTACATGAACGCATCTGTTGCCCACCGAAGCTTTGCACTGGTAATTTTTCCTTGTAAATCGCTTTCATCGCAAGGCGCAAAGAACCACTCCTCCTGAAGACGCTGTCGGGTGAGAAATTACAGTACGCGATCTTCAGCATAAATGTATCAACAATAGTAGGCAACCGAAATGTCATCCACGTATGCTACGCAATTTATGAAAAAGCTCATTGTTTTAGATACTGTTTCCAATCACCATTTTGCTTTCAAGCAGCTGGTCTTGCTGAAGACTGGCAGAGCCCCGGTGTCACTTTCACGGTGGTTATGGTGAGTAGAGTACCACTTTCGCTGATGAAATCACTCACACACGTCTTTATTTCTCGGTGATTGCGCATGCGGGAAACAAAATATTTCACGACGCACCCCTGTCTTCGTTTCTGCCTTCTCGGTGAACACAGATCACCTACCGAACACACACTCAGGTTCGCTCACAGGCTTCGATGAGATGCTGCAACAGAGCGATGCCATCGCTGTTTACCGGCGCAGGAGAAAGGTGAAATGACAACAGAAATTAGAACAGAAAGTTATAACTGGCAAAGAATGAAAATTCCGCATGGTGTAAGCTTTGGAATAAAAATGCGAACAATCCTGAACATAATATTTATATTTTTTATTTTTAAATTTTCCTTTATTCTAAGTTATATATGTCAAACTAGGAGTTTGTGGACTACATGCAGACGCGTAGTAAAAAAGGGCGTGCTTGTGCTTGGCCTTCGTAGCCTTGACTGTGCTGCCAGACAAAGTTGCTGCCGAGTATACCATCCATCAGTACTATATATAAATATATATATATATATATATATATATATATATATATATATATATATATATATATATATATATATATATATATATATATATATATATATATATATATATATATATTATATATATATTATATATATATATATTATATATATATATATATATATATATATATATATATATATTCATATATATATATATATATATAATATATATATATATATATATATATATTCCTGCTCACGGCTGGTATTTTTTTATCCACTTTTTTTGTTCTTATTTACATTCCATTGGTTCTAATAACTTCCCCTGTGCATTCCTTGGCATTACTGCCTGTTAGATCTCATTAATATTGTGTCAAAACACGGAAAAACCGAGCCCTTAGGTATCACTTCTTTCCCTTATTTTATATATATATTATATATATATATATATATATATATACATATATATATATATATATATATATATATATATATATATATCTATATATATATATATATATATATATATATATATATATATATATTATATATATATATATATATATATAATATGATCTCACCTGTGACTCAGCAAAGCTTGAGATCATAGGTGCATGCGCAACCAGAAAAAAATGGCAGCATATCCATGGAGTGAATGATGGACAGTGGGGCGAAGCATTCGTCCGTTCAATCGTTAATGCTCCCGTCCGTCCATGCGTCCGTCTGTGGGACCGTCCATGCGTCCATCTGCCCGTCCGTGCGTGCGTCTCTTCGTACGTCCGTCCCTGCGTTAGTCCATGCATCCGCCCCTGCATCTGTTCATGCGTCCATCCATGCATCTGTCTGTGTCCATTCGTCCAACTATTCAACACGACAAGTACCACCACCTCGCATCTTTTCATCATATATTCCCCATATAGAAGCACCGCTATCCAGCGGACATTACAAGGACTAAATGAGAGGTTTCACACACACACTTTCTTCCGGCTTGCTCTTCGGGTCTACTTCTCACCTTTAACCACCTCGAGTTCATGGTATATACTAGTTCACTGTATTCATGGCACTGCGGCCCAACGCTCGCTAAACCTTTCTAAAACCCAGGAGGTTACGCCCAGTGAGTATAACGTAGCAACCTTTTCCTGTCAGATAGTGTTCAATGTACATGCCCATGGCTGCTAAAGGGAAATGAGAGACACTAGAACTCGGCTTTTACTTTCTTACGGCTTGCGCTTCGTATCTACTTCCCATCTTTAACCACCTAGAGTTCATTCATGGTATATACTAGTTCATTGTATTCATGGCATTGCGGCTGAATGCTCGCTAAACCTTTCTAATGCTAAGGAGGTTACACCCAGCGAGTATAACGTAGCAACGCTTTTTTGTCAGATAGTGCTCAATGTACGTACGTGCCAATGGCTGCTAATGGGGATCGCAGCGTGCACGTTAACCAAGAGGCGAATGCTCTTGTCTCTCATCCCCATTAGCAGCCATTGACATGAACATTGAGCACTATTTTGTATTGTTCAAGAACGCACAGAAAAAATCTCTCACTGGCACCACCTTGTAGGTCAAAATCTTACACTTGTTACATGCTGCAGCGGCTACGAGGGACCAACGGGTGCGGCTATAAAAAGCTTCCCCCCTAAAATTGCTGGAGCCGAAATTCTTGCCCATGGGTGAAGCCATGCCAATTTTAAGATGGCGGCAGCGGCAGCCATCTTACTAGTGGCGTGACGAGCTCTTAGCACTTCGAAATTGAGAAGGAGGATTTTCCTCGCACGCTTAACGAGTTTAATGTGGTAACCTTTTCGGCTGAGATGGTGCTCAAAGCGCTACTATGGCTGGTATGGTGCTTGTGCTACTAGTGCTCTTCACTAAGCCTCAAATTTAAGGCAAATTGTGTTGGAGAATACCTCACCGATAATCGTCTGTGTGGGTTGTTTCATCGGAAACTTCATTCTTTCAGTTTATAATTAACATTACCTTTAGACTTACTGACCAAGGCTACTTGATCTTTAAGTGGGCATGACCAGAAAAGAACATGTTTCGGACATCTTTGGAGGGCAAAAGCTGGCTTCACTATTGCTGGCAAGACATTGCGGGAGATTCCACTCCAGTGTGTTTTTTTTACCTCCTTGTCCGACTCTGTTTTTTTGTATGGTTGAATTCTATGAGCGACACCGCTGCTTGGGGTAAAAGTGCCACCCGGGAGACTGTTTGGCGTTGACAAAATAGAAAATGAGGCGCGTTTCTACTCGCCCAATTCGGCACGTAGAAAAGCGCCTAGTCAGTTTCAGCGCTGAATGATGGACGCTTAGAAATGACGTGTACAACAAGCTAATCACGAATACCATGATCATAGTGCATTCCTGCACTTTAAAATAATACTGAGAGAACTGTTATATATTTAAAAAGCGTATTTTTTACAGTGTTCATAGCGTGTGACAATGGTGAAGTGAATAGCGTGCCCCGCTTCTGTTGATGCGTGCTCAGAGGTAGCGAATTCGACTCTTGATGACACATCTTCATTTTCTGATTATGCATAATTTTTCTCACTTCTTTCTGTGATGGAAATATGCCATTTAGGTCTTGTAGGGCCTTGCCATAAAACAGCTTCTTGATAAAGAAACTGCACGGACTTACACAGGTTTTAACTATTGTGCCCCACAGCACACAGAGATATATGTCCGAGTTGCGGGACCACACCAACTCTGCCGTAGGAGTGTACACTGGACAATGATTAACACCGCAACATGAACAACAAAGAGGAAATTTGGAAGGCATTCCTGTCCAAGTCGGTCTTCGACGATCAGCAACCGAAAAAAATGATGGCAACGGCTAGCTAAGCCCTGTGCTTGGATCCTACAATTTGCAATGCTCCACGTTTTGCTAAAACAAAGTTAGTCTCTCTCTTTCTGTAGGAACTAGAGACAGCACGAGAATAGGAGGCAGTACAAGTGCTGCCCAACAACGGAAGTTGAATTAATTGAAAATGAACACAACAAAAGCCAACACATGCGTCCGCATATGTTGAATGCTCGTTTGAGTGATTTATGAATGAAGCTTCGCTAAAACTGCTGAACAGAACCTGAACGTCTGAAGCCATAAAAGACCAGCTGCACCCCAGGAAGGGCACTATTTGTATGTTTAACGTGATTACCGCGCCAAAGTCACAATGGTGTCACGCTTCTAACTTCTGTTCACTATAGCTAATGAGGTCTGGCTGCGTTGCCATGTTTTTTTAAGGAAAGAAACATTTGATTAGCTTCTTGCGATGATACAGCCTGAAGACTGGGGGAACCCATACCGAGAAATTACTATGGTGATTTTCTCGCTGTTAAGTAACACTGGTGGTGAAACAAATTAAGGTACGTTCTTGAGTAGACAGCCGTGATTTCGAATACACACGGTACTAAAAACATTTGAAATACGCTTACTAACTTTTTAATTAATAGTTATGCAATTATTCAAGGTTTTGTGGGCGTTATAGTTCTAAGGAATCATCCACCTTTTTAGAGAGAATGGTTATCTCAACAAAAAATAATCATATCTGTAATAGTATTGTGTGGGATTTTAAGTTTAAAACATGGATTTTATTAAGACAGACGTCATAGTCGAAGACTTCAAGGAACTTCGACAACCTAGTGTTATTTACCGTAATTTTACGTTGCACAATACATGGTATTTTACTATTCGTTTTCATCAAAGTGCGACCTACATGACCGTAATCAAAACTGCGACTTTTGTGTCTGCAGCCAAGCAGCGTATGCGCTGCATTACGCAGCAAATCGTTGTTGTCGATGTCGTCGTGGTCGTCGTCGTCGTCGTCGTCTATATCAGAAACGCTACGGTCGTGATTGCTGCTATTGAAGGAATTCACTAAGATCTTGTAGTTCGAAGCAGTGAGAATGATTGTGATGCTAGTGTTCTGATTCAAATTAGGATTCGCATCCTAATACACTTTGTACGTTCCTTATCGCAAATAAAGTAGACTGTTAACCTGAATGCAGCGTCTTCATCACTTTTCTTCTTTCAGAAATGGTCTGCACAGGCCCAGAGCACATCACATTCTCACGAGACCCACCAGTGGGCATACCACTGTTATGGAATGTGATCTTCTCCCTGCTTTCTGTTTTTGGTTCCTGCTGCCTGTGCCTCTGCTGCCTCTCCCTTTGCAGTGGAAACGCTAATCTATTCGGGAGTGTCCACCGTACCCGCCAGAACCTTACATCGTGCGATGCTGGCTACCGACCATTAATAAACTACCCAGCCGCCGAGCAATGTGCACCACCTCCACCTTACTACCCAGGAGGCAACCCTCCGGCATACAACCCAAACTACGTCTCAGCAAGTCAGTGGCCGACAACCAACTCATGTAAGGACTCTTAAAGAAGCTTCAACCTGTGTGTGTGTGTGCGCGTGCGTGCATGTGTGTGTGTGTTTGTATGTATGTGTGTGCAACCATGCTTTATTTATTGTCATGCATGCGTTTGTATTTCTTTAAGTACAAAACACATGCAAAAATGAGACATTGCGGGTGGGCAGAGGGGGGGGGGGTAGAGGAAAAAGACAATTGTTCTCTAGGTGCGCTGTGGAGCTGCTCATGCTGTCAGTATAAAGTCCCTAAACAACTAAAGTAGCACCAACTACGGCCCTTCTCCTCTGCTTCCTCTCGCGTAGCTGCAGCAGTGTGCCTACAGCGTCCAGCAAGAAACAACAGACACAGGCACACCCTCTCTCGGCGTACAAAGCAGCAAGCTACCAAGCATGGGCGAGAGGAGGAGCCTGCACGGCGACACCAAATGCGTTACTTTAGTTGTTCGTCGGAACTTTACGTCGGTAACAACCATGCATTGTGTAACTGATAAGTACAAGTGCTTGCGCAGTAAACGAACAATAGGATTATAGGGATCTTGTGTGTTTCACTTTTATGGCGTTGAATTTTGTGTACATTTCAAATTGTTCTCATTAATTTTCCTTCTTTCATGAGTGTTTCAACATTTCTTTTTTTTATTCACCCCAGGCAATCCCCAATGTGCGGTCTTGAACGCTGTTTAAGTTAATGACAATGATCTTGCTTCGTTTCAAAGACAACGCTGCGATTCCCAGTCTTGCCTTCTTGAGTTAAATTGTAATATTTTAAGTAAACCAAGTGAAAAGTAAGCGACGGAATTCATGGGGGAGATAATTTGTGGTTTCATCAAGGTACCAAAATTATTTTTACGGGATATGACCGCAAATAACGTGGACAAACATTACCTTTTTCGCCGGTGTAAGCTGAACCCACAACATTCGAATTTCTGGTTTGTAGGTTGAAATACCAAGAGTAGGTCATTTTCCATCAAACTTGATTGCTTTCATATCACGCAGGCATAATTTTACTACAGTAATGAACCCACAAGTAATCTGCCTCATGCAATCTTTTATTGACTTGTCACTCAGTTTTACGAGATATGTTTATTGCATAAAATGAGTCCCTCCCACAGTAGACGTTGTTACGTGTTTTGGTTGAAGTAAGTGTCACAGGATTAGAGAAGCTACACTCAAGTGCTTGGAGTGCTCTAGTCGATACCAAAAGGATTGAATTGAACAGTAGTTAGGAATGTGTGCTTTATGACACAATTCCTGATCAGTATTTATTATGCCCAGTAGCCTTCTTAAACTTTACTGAATCTTTTCAGTCTCATTGAGTAAGCTAGCGCGTGTTTTACAGTTTTGCTATTTCTTTAAGTATATTCTTTTGAACATCCTCTCAGGGTGGGCCCCGACAGGGTGGCCTAGGAGCTCATCGGAGGGACCTGGTTTTTGGACTGGAGCTGCGACAGGTGGCCTGGTGGGCTATCTGTTCGGAAACAGGGGCACGTGAGTAAACACAAAAGGCCACTTTCATGCTACGACATTTAAAATTGCAAGAATGCTACAGTTCGTACTGTTAAACCTACGCTTTTTCATGTTAACCACCACACACTTGCTCTTGTTTAGTGTAGCTTTGAAATCAAATACGTACCTTTGGAAATAGAAACAAAAAATGGAACTGATCCAACACGGACAAACTTAAGTTCTGTTGCACATAGTTCAAGCTTGCCAAAAGTTTTACAGCCATTTTGAGATGGAATATTCACTTACACTTGTTTGAGCATGCTCAAGCAAGTGAAGTGCTTAAGCTTGGTTAGAGTTTCGGCTTCTAATGCATACTCTAAGCACATAGGCTAGTATTACAGGATCTATGTCAGCCAATGGTGGCTAGTGTTGATGGCACAAGCCGTGAGCAGCTCATGTGAAGTGCTCACTAGAGTTCTTGTTTGAGCATCACGCCACAATTTTGTTTTCTTCTTCATAGGCCAGCGGAATCTCAGGAGTTTGGCACGCCAAAAACTCTGAACCCAATAGAGTGCCGTCCTTTTCGCCATACTCACTTTTTTGCCATAACAATTTTTGCAGAGACGCATGCGAAAGGTGCGTTTATGATTTTCCCGTGGAAAGAACTTCTGCTCCTCCTGTTGAAAGAAACTTCGAACCAGCGTCGTATTTTGCGAAGTGATTCACCATGTAAGGAATGCCCGGTGACTAGTAAGGTCACGGAAGGTGCTATAGGCTGAGATATACAAATTTATTTCACATTTCAGATGTCAGCGACCAAATGAGCGACATGGTCACTTCAACTGGTAAGCGCCATATGAAATATATGCATAACTATACATACTTTCCTATATATCCTCGAGGCGATTCCACGTTTTGAGCTTTTGAGGTGGAATGAAAAGCTATATGCAATGCAATCCCCAGTTTTTTCTTACAAATCATTAAGTGCATTACTTATTGCACGTTGGGAAAAACTTGCTTCATTAGGTGCATATTATTCAGAACCGTGATTAAATTATACTTAGCGTTTTTTCAATGTGAAGCACTACATCAGAACTTCCGATCTAAAGAAATGGCACGTGAAATTTTGACATAACCATGTGTCATTGCTGAAAATATAGTTACTATAGGTTATAGGAGCTCTGATATAAGTGTACCAGCTGATATTGAGCCCATGCTTACGTCATTAAAATTAGTTATAAGTTCAATCAATCACACTCACTCAGACTCTTGTCGAGCTGGTAGTCCAAGCAAATCGAGATGAGTAATATTTTGGTGTTTGAGTCTCTTGCCTCCAGTTGAGAATAAAATTTTATCGAGCCTGTCTCAGAGTGAGTCTGGTTAAGAAAAACATTGGTGTGTACGAATAGGTGTGAGCGCTCAGCGATCAATGCACTTATTGGGTGAGTGTCACTGCGCTTCTTTTAGCCGATTCTAGGTACTAACTACTCGGGTTCGGACTCACGAATACTTTTATAGCATCTAACGTACGTACCCATGTCTACTAAGGCTTATTTTATCATGTCGGCATTGGTACGCCTGATCGATACTTATTGCAAAGAGAGACATAGGGGGGGGGGATGGGAAAAGGGAGGCTGTTTTGACCTCCCCCCGCTACTCATTTAGTTTTACAATAAGAGTGTTTTACACGATGCAATCACTCATAACTCGTACTTCAAGATGCGACAACAAGATGCGACAGCAAGGCGTATAGTACAAAACTGAATATGAGACATATCGCCGTCAAGGCGCTTTAAACGACGATCAAAACTGGTCACATGCTAACCCAATCATAAGTCTATGATGACCCCAATCTAGCAGTGAGCGAGACTCCACTTGGAGTCTCGCTGCACTGCTAAATTGAGAGTGGTAAAGCTAGTGTAAGTCCAGCTGAAGAAAACTTTGTTGAGTCTGCGCCCGAGTGAGCCCCCAAGAGCAAGATATTTTTGTTACTGCACTTTTCCTGTCGCTCCAAGCGCATACTTGACTCAAAGTAAAGACAATGAAAATGAAGTGCGCGCGTTATTTACACGGATATCTACGCGCTTCAATCGGTTCACATGACGAAGCTGTACAAATACCGTACATATTGCCACATATACAGGGATTTTGTGGTACGCTTAGGCCGACAAAAACAGTGTATAGTTATTCCTTTATTTCGCTACGTTCATTTGCATCGTCAAAGTAATTTAATGCCGCCTTTGACGCGTATATGACCTGTGTATCTTCTGTCAGATATCAATAATTCAGGCACAATTAGTAATCGCTTCTTTGAATAAATTGTTTAGTTTAATAAATACTACAGCTGAGCGCCCAGATCTAAGCAATCCGGCAGACCTTGGATGCTCTTTGAGGCGAAGGGCTCCGAGCCATCACCTGAGGTCACTAAGGCTGAACTGTTGGCTATTCTACTCAATAGATTTTTTTTATTCTAGGAGCACTAACCAAAAATTAGTGGCTTATATAAATGATGAACGAGTCTTGGATCACAAATGACGATCAGAACATGACACCGCGATGCAGGTCGTGGAACACAGGTGGCAATATAACATTATTGGAAGAGATTACCAGCTTTTACTCACGTCGTACATGAATGTAATGCTATGTTTTCTGATACTATAAACCATAAAGATCACTTATGTAGAAAGCGTCACTGAGTTATTGCAATTTTTTGCTTTTTTCTTCCAGGCTTCCGAGGAACCGATAGGCGATAGCCCTCAAAGGTCTTGTTCTGGCTTATCTACTACGAATTCTCTGCGCACTCAAATTAAAAGTTATTGTAAAAGCGTTTCAAATAATCGGAATAATCCTAAACGAAGCGCAATAAACATGTGAAGCAATGCCAGATGTACGTCTGAAGTTTGATATGCGACAGGTACCACTTAAGGGTGTGCTTCAGTTCGCGGGAGTCAATCACACAGGCACAGTATCTTATCCCGTTTTCTTCGGAGGCAGGCGAGTGAAAGCATTCGGCAGTACACGCATATACTTGCTTTAAACTACCCCTGAGGGTCAATGTGAGTGCGGTATACCTGAAAACGGCGGGCCTCATGATCATACTTTTGTTGCTGTGCGTACCGCCACGATTTATTTATGTTTATAACGTGTAATGCGGCTAATGTGTTTAATACAAACTAGGTGCCTGCATATCCATTATCAAAGTGAAACCAGTGCGGAACACTAGGACAGTGACAGTTTTTGTCACTGTCGTGTGTTACACACTGTATTTCACTTCGTTGATTATGTACCAACTGGCCCGAATAAGCACTTTAGTACAGTCCATGAGTAGTTTCACATAGACTGTACACTTTAGTACAGTCCATGCGAAAGTCACGTACGGAAGAATGGCGTCCCACGTCTTGTGTTCGACATCGACGTTTATTGCCATTGTTTCTGCGATCGTCTTGTTAAGCCGCTCGGTGAGGCCGTTGGTATGTGTGTGGTACGCTGTCGTCCGGCGGTGGTTTGTCTGGCTGTATGCCAAGATCGCTTGAGTTAAGTCGGCAGTAAATGCAGTTCCTCTGTCGGTGATAAGGACCTTCGGGGTGCCGTGACGTAGGACAATAATTTCGACGAAGAACTTAGCTACCTCGGATGCACTGCCTTTGGGAAGGGCTTTTGTCTCGACGTAGCGGGTGAGGTAGTCGGTAGCTACCACGATCCACTTGTTTCCGAAAGACGTCGTCGGGAATGGTCCCAGTAGGTCCATACCAACCTACTGGAAAGGTCGGCAAGGTGGTTCAATTGGCTGCAGAAGTCCCGCTGGCCTTTTAGGCTGTGTCTTGCGTCGCTGACAGTCCCGGCATGTCCTCACATAACGAGTGACGTCGGTAGTAAGACGTGGCCGGTAGTACCTTTCTTGTGTCCTCCCGAGCGTGCGAGAAACACCGAGGTGCAGTGTCGTCGGATCGTCGTGCAGGGCCTGCAGGAGTTCTGGTCGCAGAGCTGAAGGCACCACAAGGAGGTACTTGGCTCGGAGCGGTGAAAGGTTTTTCTTTTGGAGAAGACCGTTTCGCAGGAAGAACGACGCAAGTGAGCGCTTTGAATACCTTCGGGACTTCGGCAGTCCTGCCTTCGAGGTATTCTATAAGGGCCTTAAGTTCCGGGTCGGCCCGCTTTCGTTTAGCGAAGTCGTTGGTAGTTATCGTTCCCAAGAAGTAGTCGTCATCCGGGTCGTCGGGTGGTGGTTGGTCGACAGGCGCACGAGAGAGACAGTCGATGTCGGAGTGTTTCTTGCCGGACTTGTAAATGACAGTAATGTCATATTCTTGAAGTCTCAGGCTCCATCGTGCGAGGCCACCTGAAGGGTCCTTCAACGTGGCTAGCCAACACAAGGCGTGGTGGTCGCTCACAACTTTGAATGGCCTGCCGTAGAGGTAGAGGCGAAATTTCGACGTAGCCCGGATGATGGCGAGGCACTCCTTTTCTGTTGTGGAATAATTGGCTTCTGCTTTGGATAGCAATCGGCTGGCGTAACTAATAATCGTTTCAAGTCCGTGAGCCCTCTGCACAAGAACAGCGTCAAGACATACACTGCTTGCGTCAGTGTGTATTTCTTTCTCAGCGAATTCGTCGAAATGGGCAAGTAACGGAGGCGTCTGTAGGCGAAGTTTAAGCTCCTGGAAAGCGGGTTCCTGCGGCGTTTCCCACTTGAACTCTACGTCGGCCTTGGTAAGGTTAGTGTAATGAAAATGTTCTTTATCGGTGCCAAGGCTCGTCAACGCTTGTTTTGCGTGTCGTGAGAGGAGAAATGGACTTTGAGACGACGCGGTAACAACACACACGACGTTTATGACAGAGCACGAAAGAAAAACATAGAACACAGAACCAGTAAAACCATGAAGCCGAATAAGTAACAAAACTGTCTGATCGAACGATGAAACAAATGAACTCGAGTTCAAGGCGCACAGTTCTAAAACCTCACAATGAGATGCGGGCCCCGACGAACGCCGAGGTGCAGGGCAGGAGGCAGTGACAGTCAATCGGAAGCGGGTTGCGTCTCG